TGAGGCTGAGGCTGAAGCAGGCTGAGGCTGAGGCTGAGGCAGGCTGAGGCTGAGGCTGAGGCAGGCTGATGCTGAGGCAGGCTGAGGCTGAGGCTGAGGCTGATGCAGGCTGAGGCTGAGGCAGGCTGAGGCTGAGGCCGAGGCTGAAGGCAGACTGAGGCTGAGGCTGAAGCTGAGGCTGAGGCTGAGGCAGGCTGAGGCTGAGGCTGAGGCAGGCTGATGCTGAGGCAGGCTGAGGCTGAGGCTGAGGCTGATGCAGGCTGAGGCTGAGGCAGGCTGAGGCTGAGGCCGAGGCTGAAGGCAGACTGAGGCTGAGGCTGAAGCAGGCTGAGGCTGAGGCAGAGGCAGGCTGAGGCTGAGGCAGGCTGATGCTGAGGCAGGCTGAGGCTGAGGCTGAGGCTGATGCAGGCTGAGGCTGAGGCAGGCTGAGGCTGAGGCCGAGGCTGAGGCAGACTGAGGCTGAGGCTGAAGCTGAGGCTGAGGCAGGCTGAGGCTGAGGCAGAGGCTGAGGCTGAGGCTGAGGAGGCTGAGCAGGCTGAGGCTGAGGCTGAGGCAGGCTGAGGGCAGGCTGAGGCTGAGGCTGAGGCTGAGGCAGGCTGAGGCTGAGGCCGAGGCTGAAGGCAGACTGAGGCTGAGGCTGAAGCAGGCTGAGGCTGAGGCTGAGGCAGGCTGAGGCTGAGGCAGGCTGAGGCTGAGGCTGAGGCAGGCTGAGGCTGAGGCTGTGACTGTGACTGCGACTGCCGTTGCCGCTGCGACTGTCATCGCGAATGCGACTACGACTGCGAGAACAGCAGAATTCTACAACTGGATTCTCATCTGAATATTAAGGGGAATGCTCTTACACATCGCTGTTAGGTTGCTTTGCCGGGATAATTTTTGAATATTTCAAAATGTTCGCCAAAAAATCCCCCTGTATAGGGACAGGCCCGACCTAATTTTAGTCCTACAGCTTTTCCTCCACCTCGGCCACCCGCCCGCTGTCAGGCCCCGGGACCATCAACTGTGCGATCCTTCATGGGAGCCTCAGAGGGCTCCAAAATTCTTTGCGATTCTGAGGATTCCGTTTGGATTTCGTCGCACGTGGTCGACGTCTGGAAGAAATTAAGACGAAATCTGGTCGAAATGCAACAGGGCCGCGGAGGTCCCCAGAGGCTCCCATGAAGGCTCACCCGGACTAGAGTGGGTGGCAGTTTGAGAAAGCGGTGTCCTCGGCCCCGCTGCCCTTCTGGGGCGGGCTCCGGCCCGCTCGCGCTGCCACTTGCATACAGGAGGGGCCTGCTGGTAGTTGGCCGGCCAGCTCGCGCGCCTTGCGTCCTCCCAGACCTCAGATTTGTTCTTAGATTGCGGCCCCTGCACTGGGGCTGGTTAGTGGGCCCTGGGACCATCACAAGTTGATCCGGTACGAAAGACCACCCCCGGGGAGGGGGTCGGAACCTTTGGAGCCGCGCACTGAGAAGACATTCTGGGGCGGGCTCCGGCCCGCCCGCGCTGCCATTTGCAGGTAGAGGGGGCTTGCTGGCAGAAGGGGAGGAGGAGGAGGAGGAGGAGGAGGAGGAGGAGGAGGAGGAGGAGGAGGCGCATCTTGCATCCTTTCGCCAACTTGGGGGCCACGTTGGAGGGGACAGGCTCAGGGGGGGGGGGGGCGCATCGACCCCCCATCGCCCAGGGATCGCCGATAACGGCCTGATAGCCCGCCCCGCTTAGAGCAGTGCGGATCCGCGATCGGGGTCTATCATCGATCCACCAGCGACGTATCGCCGATTCCAGGTCGATGTTTCGCCCCCTGAGCTGGTCCCCCATAGCGTTGTCCCTCTCCCCCCCTTGCCCATCACCAGTTCTCTCGAGCGCCCCAGAGGCTCCCCCAGCGGCCTCAGAGGAGCTTCGTGGCTGTGCCTCGCGTAGCCTCCCGTACGGGAGCTACAGCTCCTGCTTCTCTCTCGCTGGCGGCGACGGATATACGGCGCGTTATGGCGCGCTCCAACACGGGGGGGAGGCCCTGTTGTGAAGAGTTACCTTCGGGATGAGCACTTGAGGCAGGAGACATGTACTACAACCTTCGGTTCTGGGCACTCTTGCCACTTTTGTGTTTCCTCAGTACAAGGGTGCCCCTGGTTTGGCGCGTTCACGGCGCGCTGCATCCTTACATTCCATCACTGCGTTTGTTTTTTGATTGTAGCATTCCTTTCGGCCCTAGCCTGCCCTTCACCTCGTGGGACACCTTTACAGTCCACGCTCCTTCCCACCCTCCTCAGAGGACGCAAGTTGATTTGGATAGATTCGGCGAGCGTCCAAGAGCTCCTTGGAGTTTTGCCTTTGTGCTCGGAGCTGTAGGTACCAATGATCTTCAGGCACAGACGAGGGGGAGAATTGCCATGGTGACGAGAGCGGCTGCGCGGCGAGGGCAGCGAAAGTGTATTTGTCATTTCGGAGTTCGCGGCAAGGGTGACGTTAATTGTCGGGCTCGCGGTGGCCCTGACCTCCAACGACGCTCGTAGGCGTAATGGCGATTTCGTTAGGGTCGTTCCAGTTGTCGGTGGCGAGCCCGAGGGGGGAAATGAGAAGGAGCGGATTTTCTCGAACGGCTTGGAAGCCCCTTGGCCTTCTGAGAAGTCGTCTAAGTGTTTTCCCCGAAGACACAGAATTTCTCAGAAAGCCGGAGGGCTGCTGAGAAGCCCTGCCGCCTTCTGAGAAGGCCTCCTCCTCCTCTTTTCCCCCCCTCGCTCGCCGCCGAGTGACGGCGACTGCGTTGGGTCGTTCTGCCAGCAGAGAGAAAAAAAGCGCCGCGAAGAGGCCGCGAGCAGCCGAACGAGGAGCCGCGACGCGCCGAGCAGTGCCTCGGGGCGTGCTTCCGTCCAGGTCGTGCCCGCCCTCCCTCGCGGCAGTATTTTGCCCTTCCCTCCCTTAGGCGAGGAGAGGGACACGTCCTCATTCCCTCGCGGCGGTATTTGCCCTCCCCTCCCTAAGCGAGGAGAGGGATACGTCCGCACTCGAAGGAGAGAAAAACAAGATGAATGTAAGCTTCGGGCTCACGGATTTCTTGGTCGCCGCAGGCGCCGCCAAGAGGATCCAGCGCAGATCCAAGAAATCCGCGCGGACCTCCAAAAGTGTGTGTTTATGTTGTTGTTTCTTCCTCTACGATCCTACAGTAGAGGTTGCCCTCTTCGCTCTCCCCTGTCGATCGTTGGCAACCTCTGGATGCATGAGAGTCCGCCGCCCGACCCAGCGAGGGAATGACAGCTTGCAAGCCATCCCCACGAGAGTCGAGGGCAGGAAGGTTTTTGTTCTCTTCGCAAAAACAATTCAAAGGAGAGAGCCCTCCTCCGCGCTCCATCGCCTCTCAATCCTCCTCATGTTCCTTCCTCCTACAAACACATCCAGGAGCTTCCAAATGATGTTGGGAACACCCGAACACCTCACGAGGACCTCCCTCCTGGCATGTTGACGGAGCACTGCGATAATTTCCCCGTCTGTTATTTATTTCCCCCACACACCCGTTTTATCGTTAGGCATGCTATTTGTTCTTGGTGCTGGGCTGCACAGGGCGCTCCTCAGGGCCTACAAGCTTGGGGTTGTTCTGGGTGCACTGGCGTGGGGGAGCAGGTCGGAGAAGGAGAACGGGGAGGGGGAGGGGGTCGGGGGGAGGAGGAAGTGGAAAGGAATGGGGGGGGGAGGAGGAGTAGGAGGAGGAGGAGTAGGAGGAGGAGGAGGAGGAGGAGCAAGAAGAAGAAGAAGAAGAAGAGAAGGAGGGTTTGAGGAGGAGGCGAAGGAACAGAGCAGAGGAAAAGGAGGGGGGGTAACATGAGGGAGAGGAGGAGGAGGGGAAGGAGAAGAGACAACACAGATTGAGGAGGAGGAGGAAGAGGAGGAGGAGGAGGAGTGGAGCGAGAGGAGAAGGTGGACGACGAGCATTCGAATCCAAGATGTCGAGATGTTTCAGGCCGTCTTGGCACCTTTGGACACCTCTAGAGACCTCCCGAAGCCTCCAGAAACCTCCAGAGGCATCTGGAGACCTTCAGGGGCATATTCCTTCTCCTCCTCCGCTTCCTGTTCCCTCCTCCTGCACAGCAGTGACATGCAGGAGCGTATGCGACCGGATTCGCCCTTGTTCGCGGCCACTGCAGTGGCGCTGGCAGCAGCAATCACATTGCGGCCGTGGAAGGGGCTTGGTGGGCTGCCGTCGTGGCAGCAGGTCATGGTCCTGCTCAGCAGTGCATGCGACCCCCCTCGCCAGCCAATGTCCGTGGCCTCGGCGTTGATGGTGGTAGCGGCTGCCACCTGGTAATTGATTGCCTTGCTAGTAGTCTGGTGGGCTGCCATTGGAGCAGCTGCTCCCGGTCCGCAATGACATGGGATTCTCAGTTGACGCGAACGTCGGCGAGCGGGTGTTGCGAGATCGTCAGTACATTTGATTGCCACGCCACTGCCGCCCCCGTTGCCCTAAAGCTCTGCCGCGAGCTCTGTTCCTCGCGGTGCCCGGCAGCAGAAGTCTGGAACGCGTCGTTTCGAGCCAGTGTTTTTTTGCGTTTTGACAACCACCGCTACAGAAATTAGCCGCTCCCACGAGGAAAAGGAGGAGGAGGAGGAGGGGGAAGAGGTGCACGGGGAAGGGGGGGAAAGCAACACGGAGGTCGAAGCGGTGCAGAAGGAGGACGACGACGATGAGGAAGGGGACGAGCGGCCACGTATGCGAAAGCAGCCGGCGGCAATCACCTGACAATTTGTGAGGACAAGCGTTCGGTTCTCACCGATGATGTTTTTGGGGTATGTGTTCTGGGATGGGCGATGTGCTGAAACAGCGTCATGACGACCAAGGTTGCAGCCAATGACCGCGCCACTGGTACTTAATTAGAGCCGCGCTGGCCACGAGACACACAATTCATTGAACCATGAGCTCATATCCCCGTGGCGCTCATGTTCTTGAAACTTGCGCAGCGCAGTTTGGCAGGAGGTGAGCAGTGGAGCAGCAGATGGCCGGGTGTGAAGTCGACCTTCTCGCTTAGGAGCCTTTCCTGGACCCGAACGACCCGCACCTGTTGAAGCACCGCAGCTCGTTCGGCAGTGGGGAGCGCCCGCCTCGTTGAGTACTCTCTCTCTCTCTCTCTCGGTTCGCGCGCATCGTTCCCCCCAAACGGTCGTTCTCCTGGTCCCTCGCTCCCCTATCGATGTGGCCGCCAGGACTAGCACGCAGAGGAGGGCAGGGCAGGCGGTGTCAAGAGTCTCTCCGGAGCCCCCTGCGGGAGTGCCGTTTCTTGATTCGAAGCGGCGCTTTTTCTTGTTGTCGCAGGGGGCGAGTTGTGAACGCCCGTCCGTGCGATAGTCGTTTGCGTGTTGTTCCCAGACGCAAGAGGAAGCCCAAGGGGAAATTGATGTTGGAGGAAGCGCATCCTGAAGCTTGAACCTAAGCTGACCACCTGGTGAGCGTTTTTACTCGGAGGCATGTTGTCGTCCAGCATGTGTTTGGTAGAGTCGGCCCCAGGGAACGCATTGGTGATGTTTCATGCGCTAAGAAGGTATATGTTGGAAGAACCATAGTTCTGTACACCCTGGCCAGCTGCGACTCATCATCCTTATCATTACTATGCGTAGTTCATCTTCCTCGCCTTCTCGTGATCGCGTCCCTATTTGTTGTATTGTAGTGGCCTCCGGCCAGTGCCGCCGATCCGGGCGCGCTCCCGATGCGACCTGGTTGGTGGAAGGGGAGGTGGAGGAGTAGGTGGAGGATGAGGCGGAGGGAGGTGGAGGGAGGGATTGCCTCACGATGGCCCAAGACGGCCTAGGCAGCCCCCAAGAGGCCTCCAAGACGGCCCAAGAGGCCTCCAAGTGGACTTCCAGGAACGCCCGAAGAGGCCCAAACCACTGATTTCTTGTAGGGCCCTCTTGAGTAGCCTTGGGGCTCCTGGGGCAGTTTTGGGGCGCTCTTGGGAGCCTCTTTGGCCGTCTTGGTGCGATCTTGGGGGCCTCTTGGGCCGTCTTGGAGCGTCGGAAACCCGAAAAGGCGAGCATGTCAAAATCCGTCCAAAACTATCGGAAAACAGACGATGTTGGCCTCATGAGCCCCTCTTGGGGGTGCTGTTGGAGTGCTCTTGGGGCCTCTTGGGGGCCTTTTGGACGATCTTCGGGCCTCTTGGGAACTCTTGGAGACGTCTTGGGCCGTCTTAGAGGCCTCTTGAAGGCCTCTTGGGCCGTCATGACGCCATCTTGGGCCGTCTTGGGTACATCTTGGGCCGTCTTCGAAGTATCTTGCAGCAATCTTGGGCTCTCTGGCATCCGGGGTGGCACTCTTCTTTGTTTCCCACGGCCCGACCCCCCCCCCCCCCCCCGAAAAACACAGCACAGCGCGTCCCCCACCCCCCTCCCCCTACCCCGGCAGAGCCACCCCGGCACCCACCCCCCAGCAGAGCAGAAGCTCAGGAACTGAAGCTGAGGCTACATCTAAGGCTCTTTCAAACTCACACGCCGGATCGGCGGATATGCGCATGCTTAGCACTCCTCGTCCCACCAGACGTGTCCGTAGCGAGGGCGCGGAGATCTCATCCAGAATTCATCCGAGTCGGCCATCAAAAATTTCAAAGTTCCCAGCCGCTACGTGGATGAAGAACATGTAGTTTCCCAGATCGTTGTATCGCGTGCGATTCTCCTGCTGATGATACCATAGGTTCACACCTTCACGGGGGGTACGGATGGAAGGCGGGTGGTTTTCAGCATTGGTGATCGTTTTTGAACCATCTTCACGCTGCGTGATTACGAAAGACATGGACAAGCAGCTCCACGGATAGAGGCCAATCCGTCTTCATGTTATGGCTCTCGCTTGAAATTGTCCACGTGTCGTGAACCTGAAAGTCATAACCAGAAGCGCTTACATAGATGGAGGGCTAGCGGTTTCAAAGGCCAGCCTTCCGTTTATGGCCATGAAGCTACAGGGCACAACAGCTACACGGATCGATGGTTGTCCGTTTCCAAGTTCGAGTTCTCGTAAGATCGTTCGTCACAAATCATGGCACCGAATATCACAGCATTCATCAGTTACATTGATGAAGGATTGATGGCTTGCAAGTGTGGCCCGAACGCGTGACCCCAAAAAGTTTTCGAAGTCGTGGTTTCCCTTGGACGCCCTCGCGTTCTATGACGCACAATGTCAAGAATCTATATAAGCTTGAAGACGGACGTCGTCTGATTTGCAAATCCGCGCTCTCACATCGATGCCTCAGATGCTCGTTCCAGGTCGATGGAGTTCTTCGTTCGCTGTAACGACGCAGGGAACGCCTCTTAATCATGAGTTTGTGGCATGTCACAGATTTCGATGTCAGCGTGATCATTTACGCGCATTGTAAGATGTTCACCCTTCCCCGTGCAATAGGCGCGTCAACGAAAAATAACGTGTCTGCCAGCAGTTGCCCCCCTGAAGTGCCTTATCCCCGATGACTCTGGGGGCCCATAGAAGCCCTGGACCACCTCAGGAGGCCCAGCATCGACGACACACGTGCCCCCAGATTTCCTGTAGAGAGGTGTCTTAAAACCCGTCTCGCAGCCACTTCCTGGGGCTCTCAGGGTTCCTCGGGCCCCCCCAAACGGCGTGGTGACCACACCGCGTGGTGAGTAAATGGGGATTCGGGGTCACCGCACGGTTTTGGGACTCGGGTCGTTCTCCGAGGACGTCTCGGGCGACTGGCGGCGCGGTCCGTCACCACACGGCTTTGAGACCCTGAAGTTCTGCCACGTCTCCAACGAGGCAGAGACTTGGCTCAGAGCCCCGCGGGGTCTTGAATCACGGCAGGCCCCGGTGCACCCGCACCGTGTCGGGTGGGCGTTCGCCGTGGTGGCACTGCACATGCGCACTGGCGGAGACGTCGACTACTTTGCAGCGCACCTCGGACCTCGACCAACGCAGAGCGCTCTGGAGCCCACGCGATGGGCTCTCCAAGGCCCATCGTCTTGCCTTCCCGGCGGCCCAGCACCGTGGCGTTCGGTTGGAGGCAGCGCGCGGTGTCGAGAGTTCAGATGCCCACCATCCACTCCTCTGTCTCGCGCTGCTGCTCAGCATTCTTGCAGTGAGATCCAGTGTTAGAATGAAGTTGGGCCTGTCCCTCTACCGGAGGAATATTCAAAAATAGCCAAAAAAATGTCGAGGGACGATTTGTTTTATCATGTGTTGGGCATTGTTAGTGCATTTGTTTTAGTAAAATCCGCCTGTAGGGGGACACGCCCGACCTAATGCTAGAAGGTGGAGATATCATGTCGGGGTTCTCAGGCCCCTCGAAGCCAGAGCATGGCAGACCAGGGTTCAAAAGATTCCAGCCGGAGAGAGCGAAGAGCGTCAAGCGTCTCGCCCCGAGGTTGCAATTGTCTCTCGGGTGCCTATGGGAAGTAAGAGGATGCATGAGGAGGAGGAGGAGGAGGAGGAGGAGGAGGAGGAGAAGGACGACGAGGAGGGAAGGAGCGGAGTAAAGACGGGATGGAGAAGGAGCAGGGGGAGGAGGGGGAGGAGGAGGAGGAGGAGGGGGAGGGGGAGGGGGAGGAGGGGAGGAAGGAGGAGGAGGAGAGAAGGAAGGAAGAAAGGTGGATGAGGCGAGCGAGGGGGAAGGGCGAGAGAGATGCAACGCGGAGAAGAGGACCAGCAGCAGGTGGATGATAGGGAGGGGCCGGCAGCAGGAGGAGGACGCAGGGGCAGGAGGAGCAATGCGAGGACAAGGAGAGACGGGAGCGGCAGAGGAAGGGGGAAGCGGAGGAGAGGGCGAGGATGAAGGGGAGAAGGGGGGAGGGCGGCAGAGGAGGAGGAAGAGGAGGGACTCTGGGAGTCCCACGGTCAGGAACGTTGGCTCAGCGCGCCGCTCCGCTCGTTCTGGCCCACCGCGCCTCGGCGCGACACACCGTCCACCTCCCAGCCCCCGAGCGTTAGCGTCCCGAGCGTTTCCCGCCTTCCCGCCCCGCGAGGCGGAGCGGTGCGTTGCCCGCCTGCACGGCGCAGCGCGTCGGCGGGGCCACCGCCGCCACGCGTCGCCGCAGAGGTGCACAGCCGCACGTCGCCTCTGGCAGGGCCGCCGAGAGGCCTCTGGCCGCCGAAGCTTCCGCGAGCCCCGCAGGAGCGCAGCTGTCTCGACGCGCCCATTTTGACACGCGCAGGGCATCGTGCTCGAGACGTATGTGTCGAGACGCTGCGTGTTGGGTGAGCGTGTTGGCCCAGCGTGTTGGCGAGCGCACCGCGCCAGACCCTACGTTTCCAGCCTGCGTGTGGAGGAGCTCCGCGTCGACACGCCGCGCGCTGCGCCCTGCGCATCGGGGCAGCGCCGCCCCGCAGGAGTGGTTTGGGGACATCACCGCCCTCGGCGGCGCCCTCTTCAAGGGGGCCATGCTGATGACCATGGCGCCCGCGCCCCCTCCGGATCCCTCCTGTGTGGGGGCGGCAGGGCGGCGGACCCCTTCGCGTCGTTGAGAGCTCTCGGCGCCCTGGTCTTAAGTCGGGCATGTCCCTCTACAGGAGGAAGATTCAAAAATGGTCTGGGGGCGACTTTTCGACTATCTTGGAGTTTTTTGGGGTCTCTTTAATGTGTCGTCCAAAATCCTCCTGTAGGGGGGCACGCCCGACCTGACCCTGGTCACTGGATACTGGGCTTTTCCAGTCGCGACCGGCGAGATCGCTCGCTACCGATTTTGCTTTAGGTTCCGGTCTCGGTCGTGACCGACTTGTTTCAAGATCGGTCGCGACCTATGTTGGAATCGGTCGCGACCGATCTGGAGTGCCGATCGGTCCCTACCAATCGCGTTCGAGAACGCTGGTGCCCAGTGATCTTGGGGGCGGCGCGGCAGCGGACCCCACTTGCGCCGTCAAGAACCCACGGCGGGAAGCGTGCTGTCTGCTCTGCTCTTCCAGTCAACCCGCACAGTAAGGATGCGCCACTCTCCAAGGCTACCGACCGACGCGTACAGTTGGGGAGGGGCTCCGTGTTCCGCAAGTGTTTCGCAGCTTGCCTCAGGTTTTCCTCCATGTTTTCCATCGGGAATCGAAGTTTAACTTCTGGAAAAGGGGGGCCTCGTTCCTTATTTAGGGTTGCTTAGGTCAACGCCCCGACTGTACCCCTTGTCGGGCGCCCACCAGGCGAACCCTCAGCAGGCCCAGCCGGCGCACGGGGCACCCACGAGGCGCCCACGGGCGACCACCAGGCAAGACTTCGGCGAACCCTGCCAGTGCACGGGGCGCCAACGAGGCACCCACGGCCGCCCACCCGGCGAAGCCCCGGCGAACTCCTCCGATCACTTAGACCGTCAACCCGCACAGTAAGGATGAGCGTTTTTCCCCACACGGTGCTCGCATTTAGGGGTTCTTACTTGGCAAACCATCTCGGGGTGGGTGGCGACTTTTGCGGGCGGTGCCGCCCACCGCCGCCGTCGCCGTCGCCGCCGCTCGGCGCGAGTAGCGGCTCTTGCGGTGCCGCCCGTCGCTGCCGTCGCCGTCGCCGCCGCTCGGCGCGAGTAACGGCTCTTGCAGGCCGCCCGTCGCCGCCGTCGCCGTCGCCGCCGCTCGGGGCGAGCGGCGGCTCCTGCGAACGGTGCCGCCCGACGCCGCCGTCGCTGTCGCATAGATTGCACCACACGGATTGCACCGCATAGATTGCATGACATAGGTTGCCGCGCGCACATTCTCCGTTCTAAAAAAGAGATAGGTTATACCACCCTCCCCCCCCACAGACGAAAGACCCTCTGTTATCAAAAATCACAAGTTTTCAAGAATATGTTGCAACAAATGGGACGAAGTGCACACGCGCGCGTCGTCGCGCGCGCATGCCGAAATCCTTCAAAAACCTTTGGTTTCTGAAGGATCTCAATATTGAGCGTCCAAAAAACATTTGGTGGGGGCGCGCATCAAGAAACCATATGCTTTTCGTCAGGGTATCCTGGGTTTCTTCGCTCCTCGCGCTGCGCGGTGACTTCCCGCAGCCTTTGAAGGAGCTGCTGCGTTCAGGGTGCTCCAGGTTCCCCCTCAGGTGCACCTCGCGCACGGGTTCTCAGGGTTGGGTTTCTTGCGAGGGTTTCTTGCGGCCGCGCCCGCACTGTATAAAGACACAGGGTTTCGCAGAACGGATGTTCAACAAAAGCGTGCGTGCGCGCTCTTGCGAATTCTTCAGAAAACCTTTCTGATTTTTTTACATGTTCAACAAAATACTACCAAGCGGGCTTCGGGCGCGCGCATGTCGAAATCGTTCTAACGCCTTTGCGCGCGTGCCGTCGCGAAAAAAAACTTTCTGCAAAAAATGAAACGACGTGCACACGCGCGCGTCGTCGCGCGCGCATGCCGGAATCGTTTAGAAACCCCTGGTTTCGGAACGATCTCAAAATCGAGTGTCCAAAAAACACACAGATCACAGAGTTTCCCAGCACGGATGCTCAACAAAAACGTGCGCGCTCTTGCGAATTCTTAAGAAAACCATGAGTTGTTCAACATGCTCACATAATGCTACCAGACGGGCTTCGAGCGCGCATGTCAAAATCGTTCGAACGCCGTTGCGCGCATGCTGGGGTAGCACGATCCGTGTCACATAGTACCATGCGAGCCACTCTCGCGCGTCTGCCGCGCGCGCGTTTCGAATTCCTTCCAAAACCTGCATCACCGACGCGAAGACGCCGTCATCGCCACTATCATCATCATCATCGTGTCTACAATTGTCGTGACCAACGTCGCCACTATCATCGTCGTCGTGTCTACAAGTGTCGACGTTGCCGTGATACCGCACCCGCCCAAGCCGCCGACTCGCACTCACGTGCCCGCTGGGATGTGCCGAGCGGTCAGCACCACCGCGGCCTCGGCGGTCGCGCCAAACTCCCTGGCCGCTGCGCGCGCGCGCATGCGCGGGCTGGCGCGGCCGCACGGCAGCGCCAAGCACTCATCGCCATCGCCGCTGCATGAGGTTCGCAAACCAAGTTGCGATTGGGTGGGTGGGATGTTTGCGCCAGTAGTGGAGTGGAGAAATCACTGCGGACAGAATTGATTCTCCTTTCTAAAAAAGACTCTACCCCCCCCCGGCATTATCCGTACTCTTTTCGGGTAGGTAAGTCATATATGATAATGACCACATGTCCATCCTAAATATGAGATCACAATGTCCCAGGCCAGCCGGTATCCCCCCCTGAGGTTCCTTTGAAACAAAAAAAAACTATGCGGTGACATTTTTTGTTCTAACACAACCCTTTTTCGCGAATCCCTTGCAAAAAAACGGGACGAAGTGCACGCGCGCGTCGTCGCGCGCGCATGCCGAAATCCTCCGAAAACCTTTGGTGTCGGAAGGATTTCGCAATCGAGCTTCCGAAACACATACAAAAACAAGGTTTCGCAACACTGATTTGCTAAAAAAGCTTACGCGCGAGTTCTTGCGAAATCTGAAGAAAACCATGGGTTTTCAAGATTTTCACAAAATGCTACCAAACGGGCTTCGCGCGTGCGCATGTCGAAATCTGTCGAACGCCCTTGCGCGTGTGCCGTCGCGAGAATCCTCTGCAAAAAACGGGGCGACGTGCAGACGCGCGCGCCGTCGCGCGCGTACGCAAAAATCCTTCAACACCATCGGTTTCGGAAGGATTTCAACAACGTGTGTCCAAAAAACCTACCAAATCACAAGGTTTTGCAACACGGATTTTCAACAAAAGCGTGCGCGCGCGCTCTTGCGTCGTCGTCGTCGTCGCCGTCCTCCCTCCTCCGACGTCATCGTCGTCGGCGTCATTGTTCTCTGTCTTTCCTCGTCGTCGTCGTCGTCGTTTCCGTCGTCGTTGTCGCCGTGGTCGTCGTTTCCTCTTCCCTCGACGTCGTCGTCCGTCGTCGGCGTCTCGTCGTCGACCCTCCCATTTCGTCGCCGTCGTCGTCGTCGTCGTCGTCTTCCCTCCTCCCTCGTCGTTGTCGTCGTCGTCGGCGTCGCCGTCATCCCTCCTTCTTCGTCGTTCGCGTCGTCGCCGTCCTCCCTCCTCCCTCGTCGTTGTCGTCGTTGTCGCCGTCGGCGTCGTCGTCGTCGGCGTCGTCGTCGTCGGCGTTGTCATCGTCGTCGTCGTCGGCGTCGTCGTCGTCGTCGGGGTCGTCATCGTCGTCGTTGTCGTCGTCGAAGTCGTTGGAGACGTCGTCGGTGTCGTCGTAGTCGGTGTCGGCGGCGCCGTCGTCGTCGTTGTCGCTGTCGTCGTCGGCGTCGGTGTCGTGGCCAAGTGCCATGTGCTACCTACCGTCACGGTCTTGTCTTAAGAGGTCTTGCGACCAAGTTGCGGGTGGGAGGGTGGGATGTTTGCACGAGCAGTGGAGAGGACAGCTTCAAGACGGTCAAAGTTAATTGCACCACATAGATTGCACCACATAGGTTGCACCGCATAGATTACATTACGTACATAGGCTGCCGCGCGTAAATTGCACCACATTGTTTGCACTGCAGAGATTGCATTACATAGGTTGCACCGCACTGATTGCATCGCATAGATTGCATTACACAAGTTACATCGCATACAGTGCACCACATAGATTGCACCGCATATACCGCAAGACCCTGCTGTTTGGGGCCCACGCTGGCTAACATTCCATGGTTACCCCTGCATTCCTTCCCCTTCCCCCGCTCGCAGATAGTAGGCCTGGCCCACCAAGGCCCTTGCATCCGCATCGTGCGTCCTTATTATACGGGCTGACTGCAGCATGGGGGAAGCGGGTCCTGAGGGAAGTGGATCCTGGACCCTGGGGCTTTCCCCCAGGACGAGATCTTCATCTTTTCTGACAGTCATGGGGCCCGTGGAGGGCCCCGAGAGCCCGAAAACGGCGAAAAGCCTCAGGACCCGTTTCCCTCAGAACCCGCTTCCTCCGTGGCGATGGTCGGCCCCCGGGGGCTTTCGCCGGGCCCTGGGGCCCCGGCAAGAAACAGCCCAGGATATGAAAAGCCGGTCCCCCAGGAGGGGGTCGAGAGGTCCGCCGCGGGCCGGGGGCCTCGACACGGTCATGGCGTCGCGGGTCAGGGAGCAGCGAGAGCAGCGAGAGCAGGGCCGCCCGCACCGTGTGTGCCTGGGGGGCGGAGGTGCTGGCAACACGAAGAGCCAGCCCGAGCGTCGAGTTGTAAGCGGCAGTGGTCGGTGCCAGCGGGGGTCGGTCAGAGCGCCGGATCCTGCAGGATCTTGCAACGCCAGGATTGCACTGATACGGACTAGCGTGCAGGATCCTGCAGGACCGCGCAGGGCCCTGCAGAGCCCGACTGACCCGGGTGTGCATTGACCCGGGCCAGTGCGTCTTTGAGAGCGGCGGGCGTCGTGGCAGGGGGGTCTTTGGGTCGACGATGGTGTCCTGGCCACGGGCCATTCTTCCCCCCTGGTGCGCCCAGGAGACAACACCAGAAAGCATCATAAAAAGGCGTCGCGGCGATGGCGACGGCGCACCGCAACTGTGACCTGAGCGGGCGGCACAGCCAGGCAAATCGAGCACAAGCAGGCGAGGGACAAAAAGAGGGCGGCCGCAGCAGGGGGGAAGGACAGGCGGCTCAATCGGACCAGCAATCAGTTTACCCTCATGCGCCATGCTTCAACATGCCACATGCATCCATCATGATGCCACCCCCTCTTCGGGGAAACTAAATGGAAAGGGCGGCCGATACTCTTACACCCAGATATCCCGCCCAGGGAGGTCGGGGCAACACCTCTTCCGAGGCACTTTCCCACTTTCAGCTCGCACGACACATAAAAAAGTGCGACTATGGGGAGCGGCGAGGATTCAAGACACGAAGGGTTCGAGCCCAAGAAAAAGGGGAATCTGTAGGAACATGTGTAAAGCACTTCGGATTCGAGCCCCAGTCGAAGGAATATAGAGAGAGAGAGAGAGAGAGAAACATATGTAAGCACACAAAAGATTGGAGCCCCTGTCGAGAAGCATGCTTTAGGAGCATAAACACACACACACACACACACACAAAGAATTCGAGCCCCAGCAGAAAGATAATCTTTGAGAACGTAGATGAAGCACAGAGGATTCGAGCCCCAGAAGGGGGGCGGCGAAGCCTACGGGGGCGAAGCCCATGAGTGCAAAGCCTACGGGGGGCGAGAAGCACTCCCCGAACACAGATCCCAATACAGAAAAGTGCCTTTGGGGCCTCTTGGGAATTCCTGGGCTCCTCCACCTCCTCCACCTCCCCCTCCTTTTCCTCCTCCTCCTCCTCCTCCTCCTCCTCCTCCTCCTCCTCCTCCTCCTCCTCCTCCTCGCCTCCTCCTCCTCCTCCTCCTCCTCCTCCTCCTCCTCCTCCTCCTCCTCCTCCCCTCCTCCTCCTCCTCCTCGGGGGGCGGGCAGGCGCCTGGCCGGGGAGTCCGCAGGCACAGAGGCGGCAGCCAGGCCGCAGGAGCGGCGACAAAGCAGGTCAGGTGACCAGGCGGTCAGCCTCCCGGCCGGCAGCAGTGGCGCCTACAACAAGCTCGGCAAGGATGACCCGCTCAGGACCCACTACGAGGCGCTCTGGCCAGACCTGGCCGCGGCCAAGCCGACCACCGCAGAGCCAGTCGGTCTCAAGGCAGTTCAAGCCGCCGCCAGAAGGCTGCACAAGCTCCAGAAAAAGGTGCGAGCAGCAGGAGAGCAGGTGGAAAGCGCCAAGCAGTACCTGGTGGAGAGCGAACGCAAGTTTCATGACGCCATGGCAGCATCCATCGTCGCGGAGGAAGAGTTCGACACACTCAAGGCCCAGGTCGGAAAGCCCGAAGTGCAAGCAGCAGACCAGGCTGGAGCAGAGAAGACGGCACTGGCATCCCTCCTGGAACACTTCGAGAAAGAGCCAGACGATTTCCACAAGTGGGCAGAACCTGACAAAGAAGCCTGGCGAGCAGCAAAGGCAAAAGGAGAAGCGATGGCGAAGAAAGTCAAGGAGCACGAGGAGGAGGCGGCAAAGCACCTGCGGTACCTGGAGGAGGAGACTGCCAAGCACCAGGAGCAGCTGCGCCTCCTCGAACAAGCACGCACAAAGCGCCAGACAGAAGCTCAGGAGCCAGGAGGTGACGAAGAACAAGGGGCTCCCCCTGGCAAGAAAATATGCCCCAGCCCCACGCCTCAGCATGGCCAGCCTGGGGAAGCCGCAGCCTCAGGAGCAGCCACAGTGGCCACGCCAACCGGCGCCGCTGAGGCTGACACAGCAGAAGAAGCCAAAGTTGGAGCAGACAAGGCAGCAGCTCGCCGTGCCCGAGTGGATACACACATCCAGCAAGCACGAGACAAGGTTGCGCAGGCCAAGAGGGCGGACAAAGTGGTCGTGGAAGGGACAGGAGAGGCCCCGTCGGGGTAGTCGGCTGCAGGCGGGCACGAAGAAGGCTCGCCGCCAGTTCAATGTGGACTTCTTCAACATCACTACCTGGGGCCCGCAGGCCCAGGATTACCTCAAGGAGATCAGCAGCACCAAGCACAGGGACATCATTGGCATTGCGGAGCACCACCTCCGCCAGCCTTTGCAGATCAGCAAGGCGCGAGCTGCGCTGCGACGGCACGGCCTGCGCAGCTACTGGACGCGAGCACGGCCAGGAGAAGGCGAAGGCACACGAGGAGGCACATGCGCCATTGCCAGAGGCTCGCTCGACGCACAGGACAGGCCCGCAGGCTTTAAGGACAACTACCTCAACGAGGAGGGCAGCGACATCACGGTCGTCATCGCCCACCTTCGCCAAGTACGGTTCGCGGCAGCCTTCCTCTACCTGGAATGCGGCAAGGGCCTCGGCGACAGGAATATGGATATCCTCTGCGACCTGAGAGAGAAGATGGCAGTCCGGGGAGGCCCATGGGCAGCGATGGGCGACTTCAACATCACGCCGTCGGAGTTCAATGACAGCATTTGGCCCAGGGTGCTAGATGCGCAAGTGGTGGCCGCAGACGGAGGAGCGCCAACGTGCTTCCCAGCAGAAGGCACGGCGCGCTGCCTTGACTACGCGCTGGCCTCGCAGGGCCTAGCCCCATACTTCGATGGCGTGGAGCTGATAAGAAAGGTACTGTGGCGGGCGGCCCCACATAGGTGTTCGCCTCAAGCTGAAAGGAAGACCGCTTCAGCTCAAAGGAAGAGTACTACGCCGCCCAGCGGCCATCAAGCCGCCAGTGACCACTGAGAGGATGCCCAAGTCGCGGGCAGCCTGCCGCCGCGCTGCCAGAGGAGGGCAAGAGGCCATGAGAAGGAGACACCAAGCCCTCGCAGAAGCAGGCTGCGAGGAGGCCGAAAATGACATGGAGGCCGTGCCCCAGTTGTTCTACGACAAGGAGGTCCAGCACGTTGTCGCAGATGAGCATTGGCATGCTGCAGTCGAGCAGGTAAGAGCGAAGGTGCGTGAGGAACTCCCGCCACACCTGCAAGGCACCGTCATCGGCAAGCTCATGGAGCAGGACATGCTGGAGTTGGGGCAGCAGTACGACCTCTTTGCGGGGACCCTGGAGCTCAGCCTGCGCGAGAGCATCGGCATCCCAGCGGACGAGCGCGGCAAGCACATGGGCCATGGCCGCCCCCCGACTTTCAAGAGCGTCAGCATCAAGGACGCGGCCTCAGCCATCCCGTGGGCAGGAGTGGAGCGCAAGATCCACGCCTGGTGGTCGGAGGTTGCCTCGCTAGTTCGCCAACTTTCGCACCACGACGCATGCGCGCTGGAGGCTGCGGTGAAAGGTCAGGTGCAGAGCCAGCAGCACCAGGCAGCGCGAACGGGAGAAGGAGAAGGCAATCTCAACACCAGAACCACGGGCCAGCCCCAGAGCAGAACAGAGACAGGCACAGACGGGGCGCAGAGGGGCGCCCGTCCCCCACCAGCAGGACGGAGCACGATGGACATGGATGACCATGACCCCTTCCAGGACGAGGAGCAATGGGAGACTGCGACCAGCAGGCCGCAGGCAAGCAGGACTATGAGAATAACCACCAGCAGATCCCAGATGACCAGGACAGCTTCGGGCACCACAAGGCAGACCGCGGAGGACCCCCGCGCGGCGAGGGGTTAGGCCATGGAGTACCCCAGCACGGAGAGGGGTTAAACCGCAACGATCCCTAGCGCGACGAGGGGTTAGGCCACGGTGGAACCCAGCGTGGCCAGGGGTCAGACAGCAGCACGCCCAAGTGCGGTGAGGGGTTGGGCTACAGAGGACCCCAGCGCGGCGAGGAGACAGACCGCAGCAGGCCCCTGCGCGGCGAGGGGTTAGGCCACGGAGGACCCCAGCGCGGTGAGGGGTTAGACCGCAGCAGGCCCCTGCGTGGCGAGGGGCCAGGCCACGGACCACCCCAGCGCGGTGAGGGGTTAGACCGCAGGAGCCCCCAGGAGGGGCCAGGCCAAGGAGTTGAAGGCCCCCAGCATACCTCAGACAAGCAGGATGATGAGGGCTACCACCAGCAGATCCAAGACCAGCAGGAGAGCATCAAGGGCCACCAGGGCACTCGTCGCCATGCTGGAGGATCAGGAAATACTGCCCCAGGTGGCACGCACAGCTCACCCCCGCAGCCAGGTGGCGATTCGGGGGCAGAGGGTACCGACCACCAAGGGGAACAGAAAGAGCAGCCAAGCGACATGGGCCTTCCCCCACCAGACCTCTGGAATGACGAACGTCATCAGAGGGAACGCGAAGATTTTGAGCGCATGAGAGATGACCTGGGGTGGTGGGCCGCAATCTGGATGGACGGCCTGAGCCAGGCACCAGTGGACAACACCAACTGGTTGGAATGGTACCCGCCATTCCTGGAAGAGGTCTTCGCAAACGGAGGCAACATTGGCCTGGAGCGGATCCTCAGACGCTGGCAACCCCGCGCTAGCTTCGGCGACATCCTCGGCGTGGCGGCAGGCCGCCCCACGTCGTCACGGATTCCCCACAGGGCTAGCAGAGCAGGAGCCCATGAGGAGATTCGAATTGGAAACGATACATGGGCGGGAGCTCGCAGCGCTGAGGCAGATGATGAGGGAGGCGCTAGGTGCAAGAGCGCCGAGACCCAGAGAAGACCGCCAGCCAGCAGCAGAACTAGGAGGAGCAGCACGACAACCACATGAAGAGCCCCCTGCAGCAGGCAGAGGACAGAGGAGCCGGCCACCGCAGCAGCCCCGCAATCAGAGCGGTCACCGCACGCTGCAGCAGGCCCACACGCGTCGACAGCTCGCACGTCAGCTCCTACAACCAGACTGCGGCAGGTACAACGAAGAGGGCGAGGCCAAGGAGTGCCAGCAGAACCTCCTGGCGACGCTTGGCAGAATCGCTGGGGGAGCCCTGGTGGACCCAGCCACCTGCCACCAGGTCGCTGAAGAATTCAGGAGCGCAGCCAACAACCTCACCAAGGCGGTGAAGAGAGCGTACATCCACTGGGTGCACGACGCCACGGCAGGCAGTGCCAAGATGGCCCACGCCTACACCAAGGCAGCGGAGCGCAGCCACATCGAGGACATCCTAGAGCACGAGGGCCAGGTGGTCTCGCACCCGCAGCAGCTGGTGGACCTGCGCAAGGGCGCGCGGCAGCGAAGATGGACGCGTGATGCGCATAAGGCAGACCAGATCCAGGGCGCACTGGGCAAGCTGAGGACGGCAGCGCTGGAGCAAGAGACTGCGCTTGAGCCACTCAGCAAGGACATCGTCGGCTCCATCATCCAGCACCTGAAGAGCAATGCGGGCCAGGGAGCTGACTGGTGGAGAGCGCCAGAACTAAAGGCCATGGGAGCCCAAGGGCTCATGGATTTCGTACAATGCCTCCACAATTGCGAGAAGCGAGCGGCGTGGCCATGGCAGTTCTACCTGGTGCTGGAGCTGCTGCTGGGGAAAAAGCCAGGCATAGGAGGAGAACGACCCATTGGCCTAATGCCCATGCCCTACCGCATCTGGAGTGCGGCCAGAGGGCCCATCATCGCCACCTGGAGCAAGGAGGCAGCAGGCTTCTGGGACACGGCAGTGGTAGGCTCCTCAGCGCTCAGAGTGGCGATGCACAGGCTGATGAGGGCAGAGGCGGCAGTACAAATGGGATCCCATGCAGCAGGCATCTTCTACGACGCAGCCAACTTCTATGACAACATCGGCCTCGACCAGCTGATCGAGAAGGCCAGCGACCTCAACTACCCCCTGCTGCCCCTAGCTATGGCAGCACAGATGTACCTGGCGCCGAGGGCCATCATGGCCCACAGCCTCTTCTCCGACATCTTCGAGCCGGCCAACAGCATGGTAGCAGGGTGTGGTCAGGCCGTGGACCTCGCGAGGCCGCTCCTCTACGACATCCGGAGGCAGCGCACATGAACTGCATCTACGTGGTGATCCAGCAGTACCTGTACGACCTGGCCCTGCAGATCGAAGGGGCAAGAAAGCAGGTCATAGAGCAGGTGAGGTACGTGGCCGCCCTGGTGCATCAGGGTTTCGCAAGGCTCTCTATCCCCATCTCCATCAAGACGGCAGTCGTGGCCTCCGACAAAGACCTTCAGCAGGAGATAGCCAACATCCTGGAAGGCCTGGGCACCCCGAATAAGCAGCCAGGAGTGGTACGAGACCTAGGAGTGGATACGGGGCTGGGAAAGCAGCTGAAGAGGCCCACCCATGCAGCCAGACAGGCGAAAGCAAAGCAGCGCATCGAAAAGCTCAAGGACCTAGCTAAGACGGACGCCCGAGGGGCAGCCAAGGTATATGCAGCGGGGGCCTATTGCCAACAAGCATGGGACCTGCCAGCGCACGGCATCACCCCCACGGAGGCGATCAAGGTCAGGGCCACAGAAGCAGCGCTGCTAACAGGAGGGCACAAAGCAGGCAGATGCACAGCCACCATACTCCTCATCCAGAGGGGCGCGCAGGAGGCGGTCACCAGGGACATCGTGGACCAGGTCAAGCAGTTCTGGCTCACCATTGTGGACCACCCGTCGGAGCTCAAGAGGTACCAGAGAGGCCGGCACATGCTGTATGACAAGCTGCAGGCCTTGGAGCCCAACAGGAGGTGGAACCAGGTAAAGGGCCCCATGGCAGGAGTCATCGTGCAGCTGCTGGGGCTGGGATGGAACCCAAGGCGGCTGGATAGCTGGACCAGTCCAGCAGGAGATGAGTGGGCCTACCGACCCGAAGACATCCCACACTTCGGAGCGCTCCTCCAGGAGGTCCAGTTGAGCGCTCAGCAACAGCTCTGGCAGCAAGCGGCAGAGCACAGGCACGGTGCAGGACTGAAGGAAGGGGGCGACCTCTACCAGCTGCAAAGACACCTGAGGAGGAGGCGACGCAAAGGGCAACACGCTGAGGCGGCCATGCTGGAGACCATCGCAGCGGCAGGCATTTGGACGAGGGAGCGGCGCAGAGCAGCGAACCTCAACCAGGTAGGGGAGGACACCTGCGCTAGGTACGGAGAGGCCAGCGAGACGGAAAGGCACCGCTACTACGCTTGCCCCTCAAACGAAGAGATCGGCTACAGCAACGACACAGAGCTAGCCAAGAAGGCCAAGTCGACCAGCACCAGGACGAGCACTTTTGGCTCAGAGGGATCCCACCTGCAGCATGGGCAGTAAAAGTTGACCCAGATGAAGATGGTGAGAAGGCGGCACACACCTTCTGCACCAACGCGGCGGCTCAAGCAGCAGTGCAGGAGGGCCACAAAGTCCAAGCCGATTACGTGTTCACGGACGGCTCAGGGGGGGGCTGGAGAGACAGCCAAGGACCCCAGGCTACGGAGATGCGGCTGGGCGGTGGTGGCCTTCAGGTACGACCAGGACGGCCTGCCCCAGGAGGTGGCAGCTTGGTACGGCACGATAAGGGCGCCGCACACGGTGCCAAGGGCGGAGCTCACGGCTATGAGCAAGGCGATCGGCTACACCACGGCGGCCTCAGCACGAGGGCTCAACATCGCCAGCGATTGCAAGTGCGCCCTGGACGCCCTCAAGCAGATCCAGGACCCAGAGGACCTCGACTACAGGAGCACCAACTTCGACCTCTGGCTCATGGCCAAGCGGCAGCTCCAGAACAGCACCGACCACATCATGGGCCACCACATCCCCAGCCGCATGATTGAGCACCCGATGGAGCTGGAAAGGTGGACAGGGCCAACGTGGTGGGTCATAGGGCAACGAGATGGCAGACAAGTACGCAAGTTGGGGGGCGGAGCACGGAGCGCTGGACCCAGCCACAATCGTGCAGCAGCAGATCAGGGACCAGATCACGGTGGCAGTCCAGAACAGGCTGCTGGGCATTAGCATGGCGGTGATGGTTGAGGATCCCAACAAGGTGGCACAGCGATCAAAGCCCAAGCGCAAAAAGCCACAGAATGCAAGGGAGACGGCAGCACAGCTCGGCCATGATCTGCGCAAACTACATCCGAGATGGCGGTGTGCGACATGCAGAAGTGGGCACGAGCCTGGTTAGCAGAGACGGGAGAGTGCCAGGGAAGAGAACGCAGCCACCTGGACCACCACGGGAACGTGAGGCTCGATTTCAAGACAGTGCAGATCGGCACGCGGGTCGTCCACGACACCCACAAGACGCAGTTTACGCAGGGCTGGTTCTGGTGCGAGAAGTGCGGGGCCACAAGTTACCTAGGGAACCACAAGAGCCGAATCGTTGCAGGAGTTGCCCGCAAGCTGGCCAAGCCATGTGTCCCGCCCACCACAGTGGGGCGCAGAGTCACCATGGACCTGCAGAAAGGGGAGGCTGCCGCGAAGAGCAAAGCATGACGAGGACCTAGCGACAGCCGCGCCACCAGAGGAGGTCAAGAATCCGTGGCTCAAACCAAGGGTGAGCAGCGCAGAGGTGATCGACCTGGACGGTGAAAGCTCAGAAGCAGAAATACCGCAGCAAGCAAAGCCACCTACGCGAAGGCGCCCCCGCCCAGCAGCCCAGGCGAGCTGGCAGCTTGTGGACCACATGGAGGGCTACGCGGAACAATGGATGAACATGGTCGACCAGGGCGTGTGGGAGGTCAAGGACGACTGGATGGAGCACAGTGTCCCGTACTTGCAAGCAGTCAACACTAGAAGCAGGACGGACGTCCAAGACCAAAAGGAAGCAGCCACGCCAAAGGAAATCCAGCAGACCAGCGACTTCTGCGAGGACATTTGGAAGAGCACCCACAAGGCGAGAAGGAGGCTCATGACATACATGCTCACCCTTCCGCACGGCACCAGGCAGCAGGCGGCAAGGGCACACATGGAAGCCTTCCAGGGCAGGCGGACGAACATCATCGCCAACAGCATCCCCAGCAGTGAGCGCAGGCCACTACCCAGCACGGCGGATGGCTACAGGGCGTGGACCCCAGAAAAAATCGGACGATGATTCAACGCAACCAGACAGCGAGGTGCCAGTGCAGGAAAGCCATGACAGTGACCATGGCACGGACATCGTCGAGGCGCAGGACCTGCACAATGATGCCTCAACCAGCGCCAAGACCAGCACGAGCACGCAGGGGACGCCATGTAGCGCCAAGCCGACGGGGCCCGACCTAATGAAGTACGTGAGTGAGGCCAAGGAGGCAGGCATGCAGCACCCGCGACCCAGCCAGCTACGAGGAGACGACGAAGACCTTGAGCGTGAGCTGGCCTGGCTTGAGAGGAACCGCCTGGGGCAGCTCATAGGTGGCTGGGCCCAGCAAGCAGGCGAGAGAGGCTGGCAAACGTGGAATGCGGCGTGCGTACCCCATGTGCTGAGGGAGCTCCAAACAAGCCCATACCAGCGGCTCTTCGGTGGCATCCCAGGGCCAAGCAGGCAGAACAGCCAGCGCAGAGCGGCAGAGGACATCAGCCGCATGGCCTGGCCCAACAGTGGAATGGAGCGCATGAGGACCCAGCAGCAGGACCCCCGTGAGGCGGCACGTCGCAGGACCATGGCAGAACAGCTCCTAGGAGGGGTCACGCCTGCAGCAGGACAAAAAGGAGGCCCAGCACCCCAGAGTGGAGAGGGGTTAGACTGCAACGGCCCCCAGCGCGGCGTGGGGCGAGACCACGGAGGCCCCAAACACGGTCAGGGGGCAGACTGCACCGAACCCCAGCGTGGCGAAGGGTTAGACCACAGCGGACCCCAGCGCGGCGAGGGGTTAGACCGCAGCTGGCCCCTGCGCGGCGAGGGGTCAGGCCACGAAGGACCCCAGCGCGGCGAGGGAGCAGGCCGCAAAGGACCCCATCGAGGCGAAGGGCTAGGCCACAGCCCCGCGCCAGACGGGATGCAGAGGGGCGCCCGTCCCCCACCAGCAGGACGGAGCACCATGGGCAAGACCCACCACGATTTCTCCATGGACGAGGAGAACAGCGAGGACAGCTCCCAACAGCCCGCGGACAAGCAGGACGGCGTTGACAACCACCTGCAGACCCCAGACCACCAGAACAGCATCGGGCACCTGGAAGGCTGCAGAGGACCCCAGCGAGGCGAGAGGCCAGGCCACGGAAGACCCCAGCGCGGTGAAGGGCAAAACCGCACCGAACCCCAGCGAGGCGAGGGGCCAGGGCACAGTGGACCCCAGCGCGGTGAAGGGTTGGGCTGCAGCAGGCCCCAGCTTGGAAAAGGGACAGGCCACCATGGACCCCTGCGCGGCGAGGGGGTAGGCCGCAGAGGACCCCAGCGGGGAGAGGGGTTAGGCCACAGCCCAGCGCCAGACGGGATGCAGAGGGGCGCCCGTCCCCCACCAGCAGGACGGTGCAACAAGGACATGACAGACCTCGACCACTCCCTGGACGAGGAGAACAGCGAGGATTGCCACCAGCAGCCCGCGGACAAGCAGGACAGCGATGACAACCACCCGCAGATCCCAGATGCGCAGCACAGCACAGGGTACCACCTGGCAGACCGCAGAGGACCCCAGCGTGGCGAGGGGTTAGGCCACGGAGGAACACAGCGCGGTGAGGAGTCAGACAGCAGCAGACCCCAGCATGGAGAGGTACTCGGTCACGAAGGACCCCAGCAAGGTCATCAGGCAGACCGCAGAGGACCCCCGCGCGGCGCGGGGTTAGGCCACACAAGACCCCAGCGCGGTGAGGGGTTAGACCGCAGCAGGCCCCTGCGCGGCGATGGGGTTAGGCCGCGGAGTAAGACCGCAACGAGCCCCAGCGTGGCGAGGGGTTAGACCACGGCGGAGCCCATAGAAGCGAGGGGTCAGACTGCAGCAGGCCCCTGCGCGGCGAGGGGTTAGGCCACAGAGGACCCCAGCGCGGTGAGGGGTTAGACTGCAACAGGCCCCAGCGTGGTGAGGGGTTAGGCCACGAAGCACCCCAGCGCGGTGAGGGGTTAGACCGCAGCAGCCCCCAGCGCGGCGAGGGGTTAGGCCACGATTTTCCCCGGCGCGGCGAGGGGTTAGATCGCACCGACCCCCAGCGTGGCGAGGGGTCAGGCCACGAAGGACCCCAGCGCGGTGAAGGGTTAGACCGCAGCAGACCCCCGCGCGGCGAGGGGTTAGGCCACCAGGGAGCACCCCAGCGCGGGGAGGGGCCAGACAGCAGCTGGCCCCAGCGCGACGAGGGGTTAGGCCTCGGAGGACCCCTGCGCGGCGAGGGGTTAGGCCGCACAGCACCCCAGCGTGGCGAGGGGTTAGGCCACAGCCCTGCGCCAGGCAAGGAGGCCGTGAAGACCCACGTGCCCAGAGACCAGCGGCCAGTGCGGCCCCTGGAAGAGCGCAGGGCGGAGGAGCGGCTGCGGCCGTCCATCAGGCTGCTCCTCAAGCTCTGAGAGGACGGCGGCAGCATTTCATCAGACTGCCGCCGCTCTCGGGGCGACTCCCGGAGTCATTGAGTGGCGGCAGCAGGACGCCGTGAGATGAGGCCGCTGGCCCACCCCGCCACAGGCGCTTTTCCCAGCGCGGGGTGCCGAGACCAGGGGCACCCACTTACGGGCGGGAGCACGCGGGTTTAAAAAACTCATCCCTCCTCCTTCCTCCTCCCTCCTGTGCGGGAGGGTCGAAAATCACTCCCCGAACAGATAATTATCCCAAAACAGAAAGGCGCCTCCTGGGGGCGGGAGGGCCGAAAGACGCTCCCCGCAAACAGATCCCAATACAAAAAAGTGCCCCCTGGGGCCTCCTGGGAACGGAGGGGCCGAAAAGCGCTTCCCGAACACATATCCAAGAACAGAAAATGCCTCTTGGAGCCTGGGGGCGGGGGGCCGAAAAAAAATCCCCGAGCAGATATCCCTGGTGCGTCCTGAAGGACCCCCTTGTGGTGCTAAATTGTGAAGAAGTCTCGGGCGAAATGGCGTGCCGGCATCCGCGAGTGGCAGCCCCCCAGTAGTGCTAAATTGTGAGGAAGCCTCAAGCGAAACAGCGTTCCGGCATCCGCAAGTGTGGCGGCAAGACTGCTCTGAAGGACCTCCACGTGGTGCTAAATTGAGAGGGCGGCGTCTCAGGCGAGAGCGCCCTTCCTGAGGCTCGGGCCCTCTCTGGCCAGGGCCTCTCGGAGATTGTTTTTTTCGGCGGCGGGCAGACGTTTGCTCTTTTAGGCTCTTGGTCTCCCCTTGCCAGGCCTCGCGGCCGTCGGAGAACAGCTCGGGAGGCAGAGCCGGTCCTGGGGAACGGACGGGGACCTCCGGGGGTCCACCCCGCGAAAAAGTTACGACGTCGGGGGTCTGGGCTGGGAGGGGCCCGGGCGGGCCCTTGGAGCCCCGAGGCCGGCTCGCGCCCGCGCGCCTCCGAAGAGGGCCACCGTGCTCGCCCATGCGCTGTCCCCCGAGAGGAAGGGGGGGGGGCGGGCGCCGCGCGCCGCCCCTTCCTCTTGGGCCCAGGCCTGCTGACGGCCGCTGGCCAGCGGGCTCGGGCTCCAGGAGAGCCCCGCGGCCCGCTCGGAGGGCGCGGCCAGTCCCCCCCCGGCGATGTGGGCGGGAGCAGCGCCGCCCGCCCCCTGCGCACTCGGGCGGCTCCCGCGCCGGGAGGCCTCGGCATCCGGGATCCAGCGCGGGAGGTCCGCAGGGGCGACGTCGTCTAGGCTGCCTCCGGGACGCGAGGGCCCTCGGCGGCCCTCGGCGGTAACCGGAGGCCCTCTCGGAGGTCTTCCGAGTCCTCGGAGCCAAAGCCGGCCCCTTCCCAAGGATGTCCAGAGGCTTGGACCCTCGCCCTTCAGATTGTCGGTCTGCCTGCGCCCATGGTTTTGGCCACATCGGCCAGGGAGGGCATCGTGCTGTGGGTGCCGCGCGCCAGGGCTCGGGCGATCCCTGGGAGGGCCCTCAGCTCAACATCAGGCGCGAGCTGGCGCCAGGGACAGGCGTCCCATTCGTCGAAGAGTCAGCGGCGGCGTCCGAAGATGTCACGACCAGGGCGCCTTTCAGGGAGCGTGCTCAGAAGCATCAGACCCTAGCACGCGCCCCCTCTCGTGGGGGCGGTGGGGATTGTCCAAGACAGGGGAAAAGGGACGGGAAACGGAGCGGTTTGGAAAAGCCACCCAGGACCCAGATCTCCGACGACGTGGCGATGTTTTCGTGACGTGGGCCCGCGGACTTCTCGAGCCTCTCCTGGGGACGGGCTGCATATCCTGAGGCTCTCTCTCATGGCCCAACACGGACCTCCCAGCGCCGAATTTGTTTAGCAACGGAGGTCGGAGGATCGCGCCGCATCGCCGATGCATGGCGATACGGTTCGATCTAGAGCCCGATTTTTTCCACGCCGATGGTGCCAATGCGTTGCCGACGTCCGCGATACATCGTCGATGCACTGGCGATGAATCGGCGATGCAGCGCGATCCTCCGACCCATCTACTCGGACCCCCTCTGGGAGGCCTCCGTTCCCTGGGAGCGGTTTTTCGTCACGGATCCGTTTCTGACGGCCCCGAGGCCCAATGATGTGCACAAGGGGCCGAAATCGAGGGAAAACCTGCCCGGACTCGAGAAGTCATACCGTCGGAGATTTGGGGCGCGCCGCCCGCAGTTGTACGTCGCTGGCGGGGCCGTTGCCGCCTGCCTCGGCACGGCCATGACCATCATCATGGCCCTCAAGTGAGCGAGCCGCGGGTGCCGCCCGCGGCAGGTGTCGGGGCGGGGCGGCCGAACGGGCCGCCACCCCTCCGATGGCTACGCCTGGGGGCCGGGCCGCCGGGCGAGCACCTGGACTGTGGGCCTCCCACATAGGCTTCGAGTAGGATGTGGTCGAAGGATCGTTCCGCATCGCCGATGCATCGCCAACGCGGCTCAATGCGGAGCCTGAGCTTCGCCACGCCGATGTCGACATTGCTTCGCCGACGAGGCCGATGCATGGCCGATGCATCGCCGATGCAGGTACATCGCCGATACATCGGCGAGGCGGCGCGATCCTCCGACCCCATCTACTCGGACCATATTTGGGAGGCCTCTATGGACCGAGGAGCCCCTGGTACCCAGACCTCGCCGCGTTGTTAGAAAGTCGCGACGGCGGGCTTTTTGCTATGTTCGGCCTCTCTGGGCCCTCGACAGGCCCCGGGACCGTGCAAACATTGCCCGAGAGAATAAGCCAGTCCTGGGGGTCGGCGTTGGGGGCTCCGCTGGGGGCCGGGTCCGCTGGCCGTGCACGTAGACCGCAAGGAGAACCCAGAGAGCCAGGCAGCCCGTCGAGGTGGGGGCGGAACGTGGTGGATTGGTCCAGGGCGGAGACCTCTGCAGATCTCCGACGAGCTAACTTGGTCCATCCCAGAGATTCCCTTCGATGGTGGCCTCCGGGGCCCGTTCGTGGGCCCTGGGGCCATCAAGAATGGATCCGGGGCGGAGACCTTTGCAGATCTCCGACGAGCTAATTTGGTCCATCCCAGAGATTCCCTTCGATGGTGGCCTCCGGGGCCCGTTCGTGGGCCCTGGGGCCATCAAGAATGGATCCGGGGCGGGGGCCCCTGGAAAAGGTCGGGGCCGCAGGGGCCTCGCATCTAAAAAGACAAAGAGAAAAAGCATCGTCCGATGTCTGGGCGCGTGGGCCGAGGAGCCCCATGGGGGGCAGGCGGGGAGATCGACCCCGCTCCGGGAGCGTGTCTGCTCGCCACTGGGGGGGCCTGCCGCTGGTCTCGTCGCAGGTGGTCGGGCCCCCGCGCCCGGGCCAGCACACGCCGGTCGCTGAAAGTTCGGGGGTGGACAGACCTCCTACCCTGACACGTCGATTCAGGAATTGGCCGTCTTCGGTTCGCGAGAGGGGCGTCGCGGCCGATGTTTTTGCGGGTCCAGGTCCGTCGGTTTCGGTCCCAGGCCGTTTTCACTAAGGGGAGGTCTACTAAAGGGAGGTTTGTCCACCGCCGAAAAGTAAGTATTGGGGGACGTCCGGACCCCAATCTGCGTCAAGCAAGTTTTGCTGCGTTGTGTTCTTCTCGGGGAGGGCCTGAACCCGATCTGCTTGCTCCGCCTTCCTGCTTCATGCTTCTGTCCACGTCTTCCGACCGACGCGTGCGCCTTGTCGGGCGCCCACCAGGCGAGCCCTCGGAGGACCTTGCCAGCGCACGGGGCACCAACGAGGCACCCACGGCCGCCCACCTGGCGAAGCCCCAGCGAACTCATCCGACGATTTACGAAGGCGAGCGAGCGACGCAACCGACGTTGGCGCGTAAGCTGCCCGCGTAAGGTCGCGCGTAAGCGCCCTCGTCTCCAATGTAGCGTGCCGCGCTGGCGGCCCTCGTAAGCCGCCGCGCAAGGTCGCTATGTCATCTCGCGCAAGACTCGTTTGCTTTCGTCGCTCGAGTAAGAATCATTAAGTGCAGGCAATGTTTGGGGGAAAGTGGCGAGCACAGCCCCCCCCCCCCCGTCGGGGCAGCGTCCAGGGTCTCCGGGAAGGCTCCCCGAGACATGCCAGGAGGTCCCAGTGGCTTCCAGGAGGAGTTCCTGGATGACCTCCCCATGGGGGGCCTGGGAGGGCGAGGGCTGCTTCAGCATGAATGGAAAAAGGAGATTGCATGAAGAAGGTTCTGGAGGCGTCTCTCCAGTTGCCCGCTCGTTGGTCCCTCCCCGGAGACCCTGGCGCAGTCGAAAAAAAACATTCGGAATGAACAAAACACCCCGGGGGGGACCAGCTCTGGGGCCCAGGACCCGCGTCAACCAGCACCCCCCCATTCCTTCATGTCCATGTTGTTGGGGAGGTTCGTTGGGGAGGTTCGTGAGGCCACCTCCCCACCTGCCAGGAGCAGGGCTCGCGAGCCAAAACCAGCATGAACACAAACGCTGGGAGGTCCGCGCGGATCTCTTGAGCTGGCGCTGGAGGAGATCCGCGCAGACCTCCAGACCCAGACCTCCCACGTCGCGATGCTCTCATGACTTGCACCCCTGAGCCCTCCCCCAGGACTGGTTTCTCGTCCTGGGCAGTTTATTGACGGTCTCGGGGCCTGGTAAGGCCTCGGGCTGCCCACACGCAGGCCCCCCCAGGTAGTCCCGCTTGGCCTCGAAAGGCCCTCCGAGTAGTCCGGGGCGGTCTCAACACGCTGGCGCAGCCTCCGGCGGCGCCCCTGGGGCGCTCCGCGTCCCCGGGCTGGTGTGCTGAGACCGCCCCGGACTACTCGGAGGAGGGTCTGTTGAGGCCAGCTGGGACTGCTCGTGGGGCCTGTTGAGGCCAAGCGGGACTACCTGGGGAGACTGTCTGTGCGCAACCTGAAGCCTCACCACCGGGGCCCAGCGAGGGCCCACAAAGACCGAATATTGCAGCAGCAGCAACAACAACATCAACAGCAAATAGTTTAAGACTATTCTCTCTTATGCGCTCGCGTGCCATTCAACACGATATCCCAAACCCTCGATACACACCCTCTTCCTCTTCGATCGTACCCCCTTGGGGGCATGTCTTCCTTACCTGCCACGTGTATTTGGCGCAGCCCCTAAAACAGGGAAAGACAGGACGGATGGAAGGAACGGACAAGTGGGAGGGATAAGGACAGAGCACGAGAGAGATTAGCACGATGGGGGCCAGGAACAGAGAACACGTGGCAGAACCAGACGAGCAGATCGGGCTGGTAGACCTTAACAGGCGGGCCAGGAAGGCGGGCCCAGGCGGCCAGGTCGAGCAGGCGGGCTGCTGAAGCGCAAGTCCTGCATGATTCGCGAGGAAGTCTCGAGCGATAGCGCGATTCCCACGAAAATCGTGAGAAAGGCAAGAGCGAGAGCGTGATTCCTGAGTGTCGAAGGTGCGGCGTTGGAATAAGTTGCGAGGGATTGTTCCGCAAGAGCTCGATTCCATCATAAATTGTGAGGAAGTCCTGCGCGAGAGCGCGATTCCTGAATACATTGTGAGAAAATATCAGTCGGGAGCCGCTGTTGCTGTAAACTGAGGGCCAACAACCCAATATGAGGCCCAAGATTCTCACTCGTAACAAACAGGGTGCGAGCACCTGGAGAGGCACCAACATTGAAAATCGCAGTGGGCATCCAAAGGGCGGGGACCAACAGCATTTCTCTTCTAGAAATGACACCTCGGCAAAAAGCGTCGACGCGTCTTCACGACGCGAGAGGGCCTGGGCGAGCTCCCGCCCCTGCCGCTCTGTGCTGCGAGCCCTCGCCCAGGCCTGCACCGCGCGGAGCGCCTGTGCCCGCAGGCCCAGCGCAGAGCCATGCCTACGCGGCCGCTTGTTCCTTCGAGTCCCGGGCCCCGCTGCTCCGCGCGGGCCTGCAGCGCGCGGCACTCGCTCTCGACGGGGGCCAGCCTCCCCCTCCGCGCCGCGAGGGCATCCCCCACACACGTCCTCCGAATCTCGAGCCTCGAGCCTCGAGCGAGCACCCTCGATCGAGCCTCGAGTCATCGAGCCCTCGAGGTCCTCGAAGGCCCCGATCCCCGCACCGATCCCCCTTGCGTGCCAGGCGCACCCGAAGCGGCGCGCTCCGTGCCTCCGCGCCCGCCGCCGCTCGGGGATGATGCCTCACCCGGCCCCAGGAGTGTCCGCCCGGATCCCACGGAGGACCCCGTGGGGATTCCGAAGGAATCTGCTCGGATGCCTCGGCATCCCTCGAACGTGTGTGTGCATGTTTTACGGCGAGGAGCGCCCGAAACTTTGCTCCATCTTAGAAGCATCGGGAATCACAGCGCGAAAGAGACACGCACGAGACCGACAAAAATGCACGGGGAATGGACGCCCGAGCGATGGCCAGAGGCGCAGCGGCCACCTGGGGGCCCGCCCGGATCCCCAGAGGATCCCGCAGGGACTCCGAAGGGGTCCGCTCGGATGCGCAGCGGGCCCCTGGGGATCCGCCATGGATCCCCAGAGGGTCCCGCAGGGACTCCGAACAGATCCGCTCGGATGCGCAGCGGGCCCCTGGGCATCCGCCCTGGATCCCCAGAGGGTCCCGCAGGGATTCCGAAGGGATCCGCTCGGATGCGCAGCGGGCCCCTGGGGATCCGCCACGGATCCCCAGAGGGTCCCGCAGGGACGCCGTGGAGGACCCGTGAGAGTTCTGCAGGGCCCTGCTCAAGAGGGCATCGGAGCGGGCCGCTCCGGCGCCTGGCGCTCCAGGCAGCTCGAGGCCGCGCGCGCCGCCGAGCGGCAGGCGGCTTCCGAAGATCCCCGCGCGCCTGCGCGACACGCGCGCGGGCAGGCGCCCGCACGGAGGGCGCCAAGCACACACGCCTGCACCGATCCGGGCCAGGATGAGCTTCTGCCCCTCCTCCTCCTCCTCCTCCTGCTCCTCCTCCTCCTCCTCCTCCTCCTCCTCCTCCTCCTCCTCCTCCTCCTCCTCCTCCTCCTCCTCCTCCTCCTCCTCCTCCTCCTCCTCCTGCGCCGATCGGTGCCGATGTGTACAGTGTCTGCGCCCTCCGGCCAGCTGCCAGACGGCACGCCGCCCCCCGCGGAGGGCGGAGCGCGCAGAGCCGGAGCGGGGCAGCGGGGCCGCGCAGCCGCGCCGGGCTGCGTCGGCGGCACGGGGCGTGCGCGGGGCCGAAGAAGGAAGAGCGCGGGGGTCAGCGGAGAAGAGAGAGGTGCACAAGCACAAACTGTCTGAGCTCCGCGCGGATTTCTTGGGTCGGCGTTGGGCCCCCTGGCACGCTCCGCGCGCCAGGGAGGGGAGTCCAGCGCA